CTGTCCCCTTTTGCAGAAATTATGTCATTGAAGGCTGTAGATCTTTTTGTAGATCTTTAAATACAAGTCAACTGTAGCAGTGAGGAAACTTCAGTAACTGCTGACCCATACTTGGATTTCTTCATGTACTCAGCTAAGCTCTAGATGCTTTCTTTACTCATTGGCAGGTAGATAATTATGCACAACTTTTAGGATTTCCTTCTGATAAAACATGCATGTGAACGCTTTCTCTGTCAGATCTTTCAGTTTCTGTAGTTTGTTCATATTTATATCAGATGGTATGAAGTGTCTAGTTCATCACTGCAAAACCCTCAAAAGAAGATTTGAGAAGGAAGCAGAGCCTCACAGAGGTTCACATCAGCTTCACAAGGATAAATGCGAGCACCAGAACCAAGACAATAAGCAGAAAATTGAGTAGGAGGTTGAGGCCTCTGTTGTTAGCAAGATCCATAATGTGCATCAGTCTGCTGCCTTGTGCTTGCAGCAGACTCTTGATTGTAGCTTTGGGTTGCTCCTTCAGGAGGAAGTGACGTAGATTCACATGTATTTCATTGTGTCCTCAGCTGTCTACATGTGTTAGTTTCTGGCACTTCAGAAAAAGATACTTGTTTACAATAGTTAGATTTTTCTTTTTCCCAGAACTGGGATCTGGTTATTCCTATAAGCTGTTCTTTTTCCAAATACCTTAAAAATAATAATAATAATATTATAAAAGTTAATGATAGCTTTCATTTCACTACTGAAGGACTAAGTATTGGAGAAAGGACTTGAATTTTAATACAGTTTGGCTTGATATTTTTTTAAACCTTTTTTTATTGCACGTGGTACTTTTCAGGCCCGTTTGGTTTTCAGATGAACAGCTTATTCTCAAGAGATAACCTGTTTCAGTACAGCTATTGAAAATTTACTACTGAAATATCTCTGTAGGTGCAAACAAAGAAATCTTTCTTATTAGGACAAAACGCACCTCTGTTAATAGGAGTGTTTCCTGCCCTTCTAGGGTCTGGCATGGTGCAGCGGGGCGGGCAGCCGTGAGCTATGTCACACTCACTCAGCTTTGCAAACGCCTTGTGAAGAATCTGGACTGGGCTGGCAGAGGATGCATCCTTAGTGCTCTTAATAGCACATACGCAATAGCTTGTTCTGAGGTGATGCTAGTAACTTTGCAATTGTAGTCTATATATAGAGGTAAATCAGCAAATAAATAGATACCTGTATATCTTGACAGGAATAGGACCACTTAGCCTTAACAGTTGCCAAAACTTCCTTTTAAAAACCAGGTATGTTTCTAGGGGAGATCACAAGAGGGCAGTGTTTTATAGTTTTAGATTTTATTAAAGAATAGAACTTTTGGCATTCTTTTATCTTAAAAAAGAAAAATGCTTATTAAGTAATCAGTTTGACTAAACTAACTGTCAGATAGTACAGTAACTCTAGGGCCTACTTTAAATAAGTTAATAGGGTTCTTAATGAGATGAGCACCAGTATTTCAGGGAATACTTATAAATGTGTTGTTACGGGTTTAGTCCTTGTTAAGGAACAAGATGTATTCACTCATCTTCCTTCCACAGCCAAAACAGATTTGTGGTGTCTTGTTTCCTCCAGTGTTTAACACATAGGTCAGTGCTGAAAGGACTAAATTTGTTGTTAAGTAAGATACCTACAGGTACCTTGTGGGACTCCACAAATTTTCTAATAGTTTTCTGACAGATGGTATTTAGTAATAGTTGCACTAATACATATACCTGGTTTGGAATCCATAGTGTATTAGTGTGCTTCCAGATATGAACAGGAATGGTCTCTAAATTAGCGTGTTTGTATTCCACTCTACTTTTGATTGAGATGATGCAGGTAAAGGGCATCTTGGCATGAGTGTCTCTGACATGGTCATCGTTCTGTGTGTAGTTGTAGCAAAACTTACATAGAAGTTCTGTATGCCGGGAGGGGGAAGGAGGGGTAAACCTTTTGTGCACGTTTTGTGAAAAATTTTGTTTAAGCCTGTTTTACACTTGTCTCTCCACTGAGTGGTTCAGCTCTGCCAGGAAGAGCAGTTGTTGCTAGATTGATGCTGCCCCCTAAGGTGGGGCAAGTGATCAAGATTGACTAGTCTTGTTCAGAGCAAAATTTCTGTACTGAATTGAGTCATGTCTTCACCTAGAGAAACAGTGTGTAGATACAGCAATTTTTGCTGATGAGCTGGCTGAGGAGACATCTTTTAAACCAGGATGTTCTTGTTCCTGATTCACCCCTTTCGCACTGTAAAATTGCCTGGAAGTTTGTCATTTGGCTTTGCTTTTTTTTTTTTGAGGAAGAGTAATACCCGATTGTTGCCTGTTTAGCTGTCTTTATTCACTTTTAGTGTGCAAAAAGACACAGCCTTGGGTGGAGTAGAACAGAGAATTGAAAACTTAATCCAAGCTACATGTTGTGCTTGGAGTTCTTATTATCGCTCATGAAAGTAGTGATTACACTTTCATAAAGTTCATTTGGATTGCTTATGTGCTCTATTTAGTAAGTGATCTAGATGTGGTAAAATGGCAAGATTACTGTTGAAAACCGAAACAGAACAGAGGTATGAAGAATTGGAAAACTGCATGATGACTACCTCTTTTTCATGTAACTTTAATAAGTAAGTGATAGAATGGATGCTTTGTTTTAAACAGCGTTTCATTTAAGTATCTTATTTTACACAATATATTTTCAAGCAGTCATTTCAATAAATAAAAATACAGTAGATGTTATTTTTAAAGCCCATATAAGTATACAAAGAAAATTTTACTATGTATAAAGGGTTGGGTTCTTTAATCTCTGAGTTCAGTTGGCATTTAGATATAGAGGGTGGTAGCAGATTTTTCTGATCAGCAGAATCCTAAGACAGAAATGAGCCATACAGTACTTGCAATTTATCTGCATTGCTATAAAATAATAGTAGAGTTTCCAGTTTATTTATACTTGTTTTGTTCTTATTTATTATTTGTAAGTAAATAATGGCTTTTCTGGTACATATGAGGAAAATGGTAGTTTTTTTTTTCTTCTGAGGGGGTGTGAGGTTTTAATTTTTCTAACAATGCTTTACTTTGGCTTCTACGTTTTACTGGCTTGTGAAACCTACAATTCCTAAATTTCCTCTGAGTGTATGTGCCGATACTTTGACTTTACTCTTGATGCCTTTTTTCTTCAGGAAGTTTTCAGTACTATAAAACTTGTCTGTTTCCAACTGAAGTATCTTGAAACACTTTCAAAGCAAACTAAAACTGGAAACCCTGTTCACTGCAAAAATATAGATTTAAAAAAAAAAGAAAGTAATTGTAGATTCCTTTTATTTCCTGCTCCCTCCCCCCTTCAAATTGCACTACGTTTGGCTTTTCTTGAGAAAAAGGATTAATAGGGAAAGTGAACGTATTAAAATCTTATACATTTGTGAGAGTGGTCAGAATGCATGAAATGGAAACAGAGATTTACACTGACAGTTTGAATCAGTCATATTCATACACTAGCTTGTGGGTGAGGGAGCGTGTTGCCTGTATCCTCAGTGCCTGCCCTAATCCTCACACAGTAGCTATCTCATTTCCTCTGGTGATTAACCTTGTTTTGGAGGTCCGGTCTAGCACAAGTATGTGCCAGACAGGAAATGCATCACCAATGGACTTCTTTGCATGCCATTAAGTACTGAGTTTTTTTCAAAATTTTCTTCCCTTCCTGCTCAGCTGTTCATTGTCAGCCTCTACTCGTGGAATACTAAATCTTAAAGGCAGAATTCAAGATTAAGATTAGTTTGTTCTGATTATCTGTATCTGTCGATTGGATTGCTTACATAGAGTGATATAGAAAGATGCCTGTTTAAAAAAAATGGATGTCTGTCTGATCTCAGTCTGTTGATTCTTGACCTTTCTTTCAATTTGAAAACCATAAAAAGTTTCTAGTAATTTAGCTTAATACCGGCAACATGTTGGAGGGTTGGAAGACTACTGCTCAGTCTTGTTGCTGACAACTGCCAGAGTTGAAACTTCATTTTTTATTTGTGTAGACTGTGGGTTACATGATGAAAAGATAGTTCTGCAATGCTTTCCTGTGCATAATCATTTATAATACTGCTTTTAATGTGTCACTTATTTTGGAGAAAATACTTGCTTGTTTTTTAACAGGCATTTGCAGTTGAAGGTGATGGTGTGATACACTTGAGTCACAGTGGTAAAGGTGACCTAGACCTTTCCCTTTACCACATCAGATATAAACCACCTCCTGTGACATGGACAAGTACTAACTCTTCTATAGTTTTAAACTAAGGAAATTATTACATAAATTACAGCAGACAATAATAAAAATGTCTGAAGCCAAATATTAAGAACTCTAAGAATTAATTCTGAGCTGTGCCAATTGTCATATCAGTTAAATGACTACAATCTTTGATACCAGTGTGGTATGGTTTTTTTCTGCAAAACATAGTGGAAAAAACTTTCAGATGTCACTTAGTTCTTTTCAGTTCTTTTTTTCAGTTCTGGGTGTTGTGTGTGTGTGTGTGTGTATATATATATATATATAAAAGAACATTTAAATAGGGAGAAAAGCATATGAAATAGTTTTTAATTCCTGGTTAGAATAGTTTTTTGGTTTATTCTCACAGTCCCTTAAAAACCACTAAAACTATTTGAATGCCTCCTACTGATGATCCAGAGATGCAGCAGCTTATAAGCAGAGCAGAAATTTTCCTAAGATACACTGAGGACTTTGTGCCCATAGCTGTTCTTTGGGCAGACGTGAGCACATTTGGAGCCCCTCTATAAAGGCTTACATATTTTCAGAGAAACCTAAAAACAGACAGACCCCCCAAAAGTGAATTTGCTGTTCGTGTGTTTTGGCTAAAACTGAGGAACTTACCAACTCCATGAAGAGCCAGTATTTTAAAACATTGGGAACAGACAGCTCTTGACTGAGACAAAACAAATTAGGTCATGCACAGCTTTGTAACAACAGGCTCTGAACACTGCTCTACACAGACCAAGTGTGTTTTTAATACATGTAGCAGGTAGTAAGAGAATAGTGCGATGGCTGGCATACAGCTCTAGTTCAAGTGCTAGCCCCTCTCACAAGAGGATCCTTGCATTGGGAATTACAGGTGTAGGTCTCTCTTCCCTCTGGGATGACTTTCCTAGACAGTGTGGAGAAGTGCTGGAACTTCAGATGAGCATCACAATGATACAAATCAGCAAGAGGCAAATTAAAATCAGACAGAAATTCACAAAGAGCTCTTGGAGCCTTTGGCGTGCTTGTGGGTTGACCTCAATAGTTGAGGCTCTCCTCAGAGCAGAACGGGTTATGTGTTGGACCTTCTCCATGGCAACAAGAAAGCAGAGGGCACAAATCAGAGGTTCTAGGAGTACAGGAGAGAAGAGAAGTTGTCAGGAACAGTGCAAAGTGCCTATTATCTTCTCTTTTTGTTTTAGACAGCCTTGTGGAGCTGGGAAAGCAGGAAAGTGAAGAGTTAGATATGCAGAAGTAAAGTGTTTTGATGAGTACAAACAGATTGTTTTAATGTTTTAAAAAGCTTGAAGTAAACATATTGCCTTTACAGTGCTTTTACTTTAAAAGAGGGTTTAAAAGATTTTGTTGTCCAAGTTTAGGTTTGTGCTATCTTATGCTTTTCTTCCTGAAAGCTACTGAGCACCTGCTTCATAGCAGTGTTGAGGAACTGTAAAATGTAAACTGTAGCTGTGTGGGTTTTATTTGGATCATGACTTTACATTCTAATACATCTGTCCTTCACAGTCTGTGAAAAGGCCATGGCTGATTTTCCTCCCACCCCAACCTCCTCATGCTTTATTTATTCAAGCACACGTGAAAGCCTGGTGATACTACTGGAGTTACAGACCTTTCAGCCAGGAGATCTGGATGTTACTGCTGGCTGTTATTGACCCGGGCAGATAATGTGATTTACCAGTACGTTGTTCTGGAAAGGAGGAAAAGAAATCTTGTTGAAGCATTTCTATTCCAAGTAAAAATTCTTTGTGATGTGTAATTAAAAGCTAATGTATCACTGCTACAGGGAATTTTAGTAGTATATTACCCAAAAACCAAAACTGAGTAAGGACTGAATTTTTATTTTTTTAAATGTGTGGGAAAAGGTGTTACAAAATGTAGGTGCAAAGACAGTGCACTGCTATGAGGAACAAAATAAAGCATGTATAGAAGTTTGTCTCTTAAGGGAATGTTTTATTTCAAGTATATTTTCCCCCCTTTTTAATGGCACATGGAAGAACAGGGGGTCAGCTGTCATAAAACTCCCAGTAAGTAGTTGCAGTGTAAACTGCATAGCAAGAGGCTGGCTTTGATGTATGCTTGCTTAGCTCATCGTGAGGTGGATTCTGTAGGTGCTATCACAGTGTGAAAACTTGTTTTTCAAGATGATGATGCATCTTGTGCGTCTCTCAAACTTTACTCCTAAAGCTGCTCTTGCCCGTAAAATATTTTATGAATTTATATCATGATCATAGCTTTTACAGAGGTATAATCATTCTCCTTGTCACTTTTTTTGGTAATAAATGAAATGCCTATCTACTTACAGAGGACATTAAAGGAAAACCATTGCTTAGACCTCTGCTGCACAAATTACATGATGTTGCTGATATAATCAGGGATACTCTTTTGTCCACAAATTTGTCTTTAGATGTCACTAAAATGGAAAAACCTTAACGTGAAATGTAAATGTCTTTCAGTCTGTTCTTTTTTAGTCCCTCCACATTAGGCTGTGCAGTTGAATGGTACTGTATAAGCAGAATACATGTGCTTCGAGTGCCAGTGGCAGTGTTGGTATTTAAAAGAGGCTTTTAAGAGAAACCACATTACATATTAATATTTTAATACCTATAGGGGACCTCATGTGATGACATCTCCTAAAATTCGACTTCAGATTTTGTTACAATGTTTTGAGCTCTAGCTGATCTTAACTTTATTGTGAACAAAACACAAACCAGGAACTTAATTTCATAGTGACTATAATTTTTTTCAGCTTTGTTTGACTTCATGGTGTACCTGTTCTCAACTGTTTAAGCAGTTAAAGTGCTTGCCAGGTATATTCTGCTTTGCTTGTTGCTGGTCACTGTCTGCCTCAAGTGCAATGAAAGTAAGACGTGCAGAGGAATTTTCAAGTGGCTTGGCTGAAGGCATGTTCATTCTCCCAGCCCAGCACAGGCAGGGGTGCAATAGGCTGTTTATCCTCTCTAGACAAGGCACAGTAAATGAACCACTAATGGCTTCATGCTAGTACAGAAAAGGTGGTGTAACCAGCTCGTGGGACAGACACTGCCCAGAGACTGCTATTTGCTGCGGATAACATCGGCACCACTTCTTGTCACGTAAGGGGTGTGCAACCTGTGATCTTTAGGCTGTGTGTGACCTGCTACAGCAACATATCTGTCTTATTCCTGGCTGCTGTTTTTCTGGGGGCCCTTGGAAGAACTGGAACAGCATGAGCTTTAACCTACATACATGGACTTATTGTCCATTTCTGTGTACTGATCTAGATGTAAGGGCACGTGTGCTAGCGCCTGCGCTGCTGGTGCTGCATACGTTTCACTGGACGTGCTGCAAGGTGCAAGGGCTTTGAAGTGGTTCCATAAAAAGCAGTATTAGCTCGCTGGGTATCACAGATGCAAGGCCAGGACAGGTGAGGAGAGGTGGTGGGATCTCTCTGGGAGGGGGAAAAACATATTCTGCCCTTTGGAATGGTTGAGGGATGTTGCTGAGGGAGCAATAAGGCTCAGTCGAGCTGAGCTGGTGTTAGCTGTTTGGGCATAAGTAACCAGACAAGCAATACAAAAGAGTCTTAAAAAAAGGAAAGGTAACATAAGTTAGAATGCACACCTTATACAGCTAGAAAATCTTGTAGACAAGGGATGAGGTAAGGTCAAACTAGAGTAACTTGGTTTTCTTGATTTTTTTTTTTTTTTTTTTTTAAATTTATTTTTTAAAGCTTATATAGTTTTGGAAAATTTTGAAACACACGTTTTGTTCTACCTACTAAGCCTGTCTATGGCTTTCTTGTAAGCAAAGGAAGCAATTTCTTTGTCTGTATTTTGAGTTTGTCTGTACAAGTGCGTGGCTTTAGCTAATAAACACATACCTTGCTTGTTAATCCTCCATGGCACTGTCACCCACCTAAAGTGTGTGTAAAGAGAAACAGATTCAGTAACACAGCTGCATATGGGTGACTATCAAGGTCAAAATGGAAAGCTATTTTTATAAGTTTTTTAAATGATTACACTGAAATGCAGGCTGCTTGTTGCCACAGTTAGTAGCTATTCTCTGCTGTTTAGTCATCTGTGTTTTATGTCAATATTAAGCAGTATTATGTGTACACACACCACTTCTTGAAAGAAAAGTGCAGCAAAAGGGCAGACTACATTTAACTTTAAGTCAGAAAGCAGTAGGTGTATTTTGCACAAGAGAGCTGGTGGCTACGTTGCTGTGCAGTCCTGTTTCTTCAGTGCTGGTAATGGAGGCGAGAGGCTTGCCATGCACAGTGCCACTGCGAGAAGAGGTCACAGGGCTCACCCTGTATGTTACTGCGTAGGGGATCCCCTACACCTGGTGCCCTAGAATGAGCCACAGATCACAATTATTGTTCCCTTCTTCACTGGCATGTGACTGTTTCCCTGATTTGTATGAGTTTATTTTTATCTCTATTCCTGGGTGTCCTTCACAATGAGAGGAGGTATGTGACCAAAGTGAAAACTGTGGGCCATGCTCGTTCCTGGTGCAATTGCATTGACTCCATTGAAGTCACACGGGATAAATTTGGCTCCTTTGGAAATGCCACAGCAATTTTAGACACAGCCTGTTTCCTGTCATATGTTTACTAAATGCAGCAGTGATATCAGTGGAATAGAAGAGGTTTGACATATTTGATTTGTTGCTGTCCCGTAAGACCCATAGAAGCCCTGAAAGGGCATTGTTAAAAAGTGATATTACGTAACAGTCCATTGCATAGATTTTTACAATGAGGTGTCCCCAAAACCTAATAGTTTAGTTTCATCTATTGAAAAGAAATGTCTTAACCATAATCATAGTGATGCAAAACGTACCATTAAGTTATGTGATCCTTGGGCTAGTACATGGTTAGGACTTACCAAAAATTGCCTGGCCTCTGAAATTCCTGCAGGAGTTTGTGTGAGCTGTATGATGCTCCTGAACAGCAAGAGGCATCCTCTGCATATTCAGAGAGAGGTAAGTTTAAAGCTACACATGTGAAGAAGAACCCTGCATGCAGAACCAAATGCTGTGAGTTGAACCAAGCCTGGAGCCCTTTGCAACCCCTGATTGTGGATTGCGTGGCCCTCAGAGGAGCAGATGTTGCAGAGCTGTAAAGCTCTGCCGCTGGACAGAAGCTGCAGCTGATACGTAGGCATGCTTTCCATCCATCTTCCCTGGCTGTCCTGTGTTAAGGCATATATCTGATTCCAAGTTACATTGCTTTGTTTTGAACACTGCTGTAAAGTACCTCCTCATTGGCAGTGTGGAGTCACTGCAGTTGAGATCTACAAGTCTGAAAACTTCTTTGTGCGTGGAAGATGAGGGGTGAGAAGAGGGTGAAGAGGGAAGCAGTCTAAGTCAACTCTAGAGACTTCTACAGGCTTTCACTACTGTGACTTTAGTTCAACAAGGAAAAATTTCCAGTGATAAACCAGAAGCTACTTGCAGGTTTTCAAATACAGAAATTGTTTATAAAGGTATGTCATAACTTAATTTTTTTTATACAAATATAAATATTGTGGAGGTCACTTGATGTGTTATTTACCCTAGCATCTGGATTGTGTATTTACTTATGCTAGGGATGCAGAGTTCTGCTGCTCATTCCGATTTTAGACTGATTTTTGTACTTAGGTATTTGTGTCAATGAAAAAGGATAGTAGGGATATTAGCCAGTTCAACAGATTGACTGCAGAAAAAGGAGACTTGATTTAATTTTTTTTTTTTTCTTTTTTAAGAAGAAAGCATTAAAGGGTAAAGAAGGGGCTGAAGGTCAAAACCAAGGACTGGGATGGGTGAAGGCAAGAATGCAGACAACAGTGTAGGAGAGGACAGATTGAGGGAGCAAAGCAGAAGAAAACAGAGGAAGAGAGTAGGAATGTGGAAAAAGAGCAAGGAATTGTGAAAGAGGAAAGAGAAAACTATCTGGAGGACATGAAGTCACTGAAGAGAGCTATACACTGACTTGTGGCATATAATGTAATATTTTTTTCAATCACATGCAGAAAACTTTTCCTTGGGAGGGGGGAAGAAGCAACAATTCCCAGACTCTATGAGCTGAAGTGCTGATAACAGAAAAAGCAAACTCATC